GCCGGGGAGGACCTACGTCACCACTACGTCACGGCCAGTCAATCACCGAGCTGCCCAGCGGGCAGTCCATCCTCCCTCCCCCATTAGTCTAAATAAAGACATTTGCCTGTTGTTCGCGTCGCCTCCGCGTGCTTCTATATATCCACTTCAATCGGCAGATGTAGTGGGATAATTGACTACTTCCTTATACTATTACATCATCTAGTCCAGCTTCAACTTATAGCCCAACATCTGGTAGCAGAGCGTGGTTAATTCGAGACACCACGTGCAAGATGACCTCGACGCTGATCAACACGCCCCTCGAGAAACTCAATGATCAGAACTACAGAAGCTGGAAGTATAATACGAAGATGATGCTAATCGAAAGAGAACTCTGGAAGTATGTTACGGAGCCAACACCCGATGAAGAAGCCTCAAGAACAATCTTCAACATGAAGCAAGAAAAGGCGTTGGCTATGATAGCACTGACGATCTCACCGAGACAACAGATTCATATAGTGGACTGTACCACTGCACGAGAAGCATGGGTACCTTGGAACAAGTATACGAACCCAAGTCAAGGTCAAGAATCCTCCAACTGAAGAAGCAGTTCATCTCCATAAGATTCGAAGAACAAGAGACGATGACGAACTATTTGGGAAGACTGAAGATCTGTTCGGATCACTTAAGAGAGGCAGGGGCAGAAATGCAGAATCAAGACCTCGCCTATTCAATGCTTGCTGGCCTACCGGAGTCATACGACGGAATCATCATGACCTTCAGCAACGTAGAAGACAAGGAATTCACCTATAGCAAGGTAAAACATGTGCTGCTAGCAGAATACGAGAGACGGATGGCCCGACGTGTGAATAACACAAATGAAGCTTTGCAGTTCGGGACAACGACCAGGAAGGAAGACAAGAAGAAGAAAAATTTCACCTGCTACAAGTGCGGCAAGGAAGGACATATCGCGAGATCATGCAGAGGAAAGGCTAAAACTCCAACTCCAAATTTCCAACCACCGAGATGTAGCACTCAAGAGATAGCGGGAAGCGAAATGCTAACAGCCCTATCATGCGCCATCCCTGACAACTCTTGGGTGATCGACAGCGGCGCGATTCACCACATGTGTAACAAAAGGGAGTGGTTCACCAACTTCCAAGGAATAACGTCGGATCCGATCCTAACAGCGAGCGGGACTACACGAGCGGAAGGATGTGGCGACATCAAGTTCAAGGCCTATGTGGGTAAGCACCACGTTGCCTAAAACTATGTAATGTGCTGTATGTCCCTAATGTGCGACGAAACCTATTGTCAGTCTCGAGCATGGAAAATAAGGGCAAGATAGTTAATTTTGCGAACAGAAGAGCGCAAGTTTTCGATTCGGAGAACCGAATTGTTGCAATAGCACATGATGAAAATGGATTATATGTCATGAAGGGTAGAGTCATTTTACCAAACGCTGAGTTGTTTAACAGTCAAAAGAGTTCACAAAAACAAACATTAGAACTATGGCATCAGAGGTTCTGTCATGTAAACAATGAAGCAATTGAGAGAATGGCAAAGGGGGAATTAGTTAAGGGGTTAGAGATCTCCTCGATGGATCGAAGTCTGTGTGATGATTGTTGTGTAGCAAAGTCCACGAAAGAGCCACACAAACCCATTAGGAATATAAGATCTAAAAGTCCGTTAGAATTAGTTCACACTGATATTTGTGGTCCAATGCCTGTTAGATCTATTGGAGGAAGCGCATATTTTCTTACATTCATTGATGATTATTCTAGAAAGATAACTCTGTTTTGCCTTAAACATAAAAACGAAGTGCTGAAACACTTCGACTCGTATCTCGCTAGGGCTGAGAGAGAAACCATACATAAGCTAAAAGTGCTAAGATCCGACAATGGACTCGAATAATGCAACCATGAATTTAAAACTAGGTTAGAGCAACTTGGCATCAAACACGAGCTAACGAACACATACTCGCCACCTATGAACGGCGTTGCAGAAAGGGCTAATCGAGTGTTGTTGGACATAACCCGATCTTGTTTACATAGCGCCGAACTCCCTCAGAGATTCTGGGCAGAGGCAGTAAACACTGCAGCTTATATAAGAAACAAGTGCTACAATAGCGCCCTAGGAGATAAAGTACCCGATGAACTTTGGTCATCAAGAAAACCGAGTGTTCGCCACTTAAAAGCTTTCGGGTGCTTAGCATATAGCCATATCCCCACAGAAAGGCGAAAGAAACTGGACAATCGAGCAAATAGGTGCATTCTTGTTGGTTATTCTTCCCAGACTAAAGGCTATCGTCTTTGGTGTCCAGAAACTCAACACGTAATCCAAACGAAGCATGTCAAATTTGACGAATCCAAGATAGGACTGAAGTGGACTAAGGTTGAGGATGAACCTGAAAGATACAACCACATTTGGATAGAACCCGATAACCAGCTTGAAGGAGATATAGATCTAAAACCTGAAGCGAAAAGAGAACGTAATGATGATACGATTGATCAGGATTTAGTGGGGGTAAACAACGAAGACATTGTTCAAACTAGGCCTAAAAGAATTGTACGAAACCCTTATGGACGTGCTGGAAAGCCAAAAGTAGAACTGCATTTCCTAGATATCATCGAACCCACAACTTTCGAACAAGCCATAAACAGCAAAGAGGCACCGAACTGGAGAAGGGCCATGAAGGATGAATTGAGAATTCTTGAGGATAGAAATACGTGGACGTTGTCCGACCTACCACTTGGCAAGCGCCCAATTAGCAGTAGATGGGTATTTAAAATAAAGACTAACTCAAAAGGGGACGTTGAAAGATTTAAAGCGCGATTAGTTGCGAGAGGTTTTTCTCAAAAACGAAACGTTGATTTTTTTAGACATATTCGCCAGTAATAAATTTTTCGGTCATCAGAATGATCTTTGCATTGACGATAAATAAAAATTGGTACAATCGACACCTCGACGTCGACAATGCATATCTATACGGCGAATTGAATGAAGAAATCTACATGAGCCCACCAGATGGATCTAACGACGAGAAATGTGAGGGCAAAGTTCTTAAACTAAACCGTCCAATATATGGTTTACGTCAGTCCGGTCTCGAATGGTACTGCACACTGGATAAAGCTCTTGAAGATATTGGATTTCGTCGTTTAGCCGCTTGTAATTGTTTATACACTTTTGAAGATAAGGCGGTCATCGCCGTATATGTCGACGATCTAGCTTTGTTCGCGGAAAGCGAGGACATTCTTACAAATATTGAGGAAAATATTAGAGAAAAATTTAAGATCAAGAACTTAGGACCCATCAAATATTTATTAGGTGTAGAAATAAGTTATCCAGATGAAAACACAATAATCCTCTCACAAGGAAAATACACCATGTCGATCCTCGAACGATTTAATATGATGGAATGTAGGGGAGTTTCTACTCCATTAGATAACTCCATTCCGATTACAAAGAAAGACTGTCCAACAACTGACAAGGAAAAGGATGAGATGAAACACATACCTTACAGAGAACTTATAGGGTCTCTGCTATATCTTGCAAACTCATCGAGGCCTGATATGACGTTTGCCGTAACTAAATTAGCACAATTCTGTAGTAACCCAGGCGAACAACACTGGCAAGCTGCTAAACATATACTAAGATATCTTCAAGCTACTAAGAATGTTTCACTCATCTATAAAAGAGGGTCTGATGATATACTAGCATTTAGCGACTCAGATTGGGCTAATGACATAGATGATAGACGATCAACTAGCGGGTCAGCTGTTACTATTAACGGTTGTTTAGTGTCATGGAGATCTAAAAAGCAAAATTGCGTGTCATTATCTACAATGGAGTCTGAGTACATTGCTCTCGCCCAGACCACTAAGGAAATATTGTGGATAGCACAAATATTAGAGAATTTGAAATGCCTGACTAACGCCTCACGCCCAATAACAATATTCTGTGATAATAGAGCTACCATCGAGTTTTCTAAAAACAACATAGAAAACAATAGGTCGAAGCACATTGACATACGGTATCATTATATAAGAGAAAAGGTCAACAGCGGAGACATCCATGTGAATTACATCTCTACCAACGACAACCTGGCCGACATCTTCACCAAGGGCCTCAAAAAGACTGCACATCAGAATGCTTGTGCAGCTAGGAATTGTCTGGATACTGGCATATAACACGGCATATCCAAAGTGGGGGAATGAAGACATGTTGAATATGCCCACTTCCGCCGGGGAGGACCTACGTCACCACTACGTCACGGCCAGCCAATCACCGAGTTGCCCAGCGGGCAGTCCATCCTCCCTCCCCCATTAGTCTAAATAAAGACACTTGCCTGTTGTTCGCGTCGCCTCCGCGTGCTTCTATATATCCACCTAAATCGGCAGATGTAGTGGGATAATTGACTACTTCCTTATACTATTACATCATCTAGTCCAGCTTCAACTTATAGCCCAACAATAGGAATTAAGTAATTTATGAACAAGACCGTTGAGCTTCTTCAATCAGGTCTCTCCAAGGTGATCTATAGCCATAGTTGGGGGGAAGGATTTGCTCTTTGGTCTAGTTTGTCAATTCATTGAAGATTTTCGGAAGGGATAATGCGTTGTTGCTACCTTGCCTTCTGCGTATATATGTTGTTGGCCAAATGGTAGGTTAATCAGACTTTAGATGCCGTTTTTTTTTACTTTAAAGACAAGTGAGTGCTCCCTTACACTTTAGGATAAAGTTGTTTTGTCTCTAATTGGCTCCATCTTGACTCTAGGCCGCTGCCCACTCTCCGCCTCGTAGAGATTTAAAGAAGGATGCTTACTTTCTTTTATCAGAGAGAGAGATTAAGATTGAAACTATTTTAGTACAATTATCATATAAGATTATATAAAGTTAAATACGAAATAAATATAAATTTAAATAAATAAGATTATATATAATGAAAAATATATGTAAATATATGATAGAGAGAGGAGAGCTTAGAGTAAACCACCAGTTCTTTGTGGGATAGTAGAAAGAGCCTTCAGCATTGTGTGGTCCCCTTCTCCAATATTGACCAGCCAACATTGCTTAACTTCGATGATCGAGCGAGAACCGGAGTTTTCAATGTGGATGGCGGTAGATATAGAATAATATAATGATAATTCCCCAAATAAAATATCATTGAATCAGATTAAATATAAATTTTAAAGCAAAAACCATCACCGATTTTTAATACAGTTAACATATCAGGGAACAGGCTAAATCAATGTTTAGTTGATTTCTGTTCCACCAGATGGCGCTCTGCCATCTGTAAAGCACATGTGCTCCTGGTCAGGATATGCCTTTTTTATTTTTAATATCTCACATATTTATCAATGAAAAATAGGGACATATAGATATTTTAAAAATAAATCCTATTGAATATATAAAGTATAAAAATAAAATGTCCGATATGTTTTTTTTAGCATAGGTTCCCACAATTTTTGAAATATTCAAATCAAATTAGGCACGATATGAATATGGGAATATGCAAAATTACAATAAGGTTGATTTGCATATTACGTTTATTTTTTATCGTAAAGATAGAGGCTGCCTGGCCGGCATTCATATTTATATGAAAAATAGACACTTCGGCCAGTTGGAGTTTTTTATTTTCTCAACGTTTCGACAAATATCTTTTGTCTTCGTCAGGAGAAGTAAATAAAAATAAACATTTGGCAAGGCGTTAAAAATTGTTCTGAGGTTTGCAAGGGCGTTCTCACGTGATTTTTCGAATTTAGTACAACATCTAAAGCGCGAGTCAAAAAACAAATATTATACTCGTCAATGACTATGATCTTGGAAATAAAAATATATAATAATAAAATTATAATAAATTAAGTAAAAATAAATAAATCTATATTAATAAAATGGAAATTTCATAAGTGGACATCACTAAAAACTTTCGTTACAATGCATCAATTTCAACCAAATTTTCAACATTTATGTAAAACGAGATGGAGCAGGTTTTGCTTAACATCAAAATATATTTCCTAACATTAACATGCGTAACTTCGCTGTTATCGATTAAATACAAAAAAAAATCAACAGAGTTAATTTTATTTATATATAAATACAAAATAAAATTTCAATAGAGTTAATTTTTTTACATACTAGCTAATAATCTCAATCTAAAAAATATTCAAAACAAGCAATTTTAAGATAACACCATATGTAAAACAGTCGGCCAAGAAAACAACAACGATATTACATCTTTCTCACATATCCACACACAATCTTGATTAATAATTAAAACTAATCTTTAACATTGTTTATTATACTTCAACTTTTATTTCTACATTTGTTTTTGAATACCCAATTGTTTTATCATGTTTCTAATTTCGCCTAACAAATATACAAATTTATAGTGACCAACATAGGCAAATTTTATCTTTGTTTTTATTTAACTTGATATCGTAAACATAACATCTGTTGGGAAAAGAATGTTATTTTTCTTATAGATTTATATTTTTTTAAATATATGTAAATTTAATCCATTATAAGAAACATATTTGCCATATGTAAATATTTATATGTATATATATTCGTGACAAAAAATAAAGTAGTTGACTGGTTAGAGTCGTGTGGTTTCTCGGCCCGCTCTCGAGAGGTCTACGCCTTGGTTGATACCTGCCTTAGACACTTCCGCGGATTTGACTTCTTGGGAATCGCTCTTCCCTACCTTTGAGATTCCACGGATTTTTTCCTCCCCGGGACCAGAATAAGAGTCTTCGGGCGTCTGGGGAAAATAGAGCCTGGGCGCTGCGCCGCTGAACGCGACATTTGGCATCCCAGCCGGGACGGCGAGGAGAAAGCCGTGCCTATATTTGGAACCCTTTTGGATCAGAAGATGGAGAGAGAAGAAGCGCTAGAGAGACTCAAGAAGAAGAGAACCATACTCCGCACGTCTTTATCCAAGTACGGGAAAGGATTGAGGAATATGACGTGCACAAGGAGTGTGACCACGAGGAACTGCTGGGGCAGCTTTCGGATGTCTACGAAGAACTGAGGCGGGTAGACGAAGAAATCGGTAAGATGATTGACATCAAAGATCTAGAGAAAGATCTAAAGATGGTAGAGGAATACCGGGAAAAGGCCGTGGCGTGGAAATATTTGTTAAAGAAAAGAAGTCTGGTGGTAGCGGAAGGAATGCAGAGGGAAACTGCAACTGCCACGAAGAAGGAATATCCAGGAGAAATCGGTCGACCGACTCTAACTGGGATGGTTAAGTTACCCAAATTGACAATGGAAAGATTCTACGGGGAAATTAGCCAGTGGTTAAATTTTTGGAATGCCTTCGATTCATCAATCAATAGGAATGAACACTTGACCAAGATAGATAAATTTAACTATCTTAAAGCCTACTTGGGTGGAACGGCGGCCCAAACTGTGGAATGATTTTGCCTATCTGAGGAAAATTTCGATAAGGCCGTTGAATTGTTGAAGAAACGCTTCGGAAAAGGGGAAAGGTTGATCGACGTGCATATGAACAACCTCTTGGCCTTGAAACCACTTAGAGTGACAAAGGACGTGAGGGCTTTCAGAGAATTGTACGGCAGAATCCTGGTGCAGATTAGAAGTTTGGAGTCATTGGGTGTTGTCGTTGAAAGCTACGGTAACTTATTGTGCCCTTTACTCCTCAAGCTATTGCCATCAGACTTAAAGCTTGAATTACACCGGGAATTCACAGGAGCTTTTTCTCTTGGAGATTTGATTGAATTTTTGGAGAGACAATTGATTGCATTAGAAAGCACGTTCGGTACGCGGGACGAAATAACAGCCGGCCAACCATCAAATGAGCACCCTCAGTCACAAAGCTCTATCGTGAAGTATCGAAGAAATGAGAGGAATCCCCTGCCCACGGCTGCTGGTTTTTTGAATGCCTCTGAAGCAGTGAATAAGAGGAAGAATTGCGCCTTTTGTGAAAGAGATCATGAAAGTACAAAGTGCGAATTCGCGGAAAATTTGACATTGGAAGATAAATTGGGAAAATTAAAGAAGAAAGGGGCTTGTTTCAGATGCCTGAAATATGGTCATTTGAGCAAATTCTGCAAAGTTAAGACAAGTTGCACCAGCTGTGAGGAATTGAGACATTCAAGGATTATGTGCCCCAGGAAGAACCAGAATGCTACTCCAGCCCGAGGGATGATGAGGGATGAGACTTTGACCAATCTGACGACGCCTGTGGTGTTGTTGCCCACACTGAGAGTGACTATCAGAGGAAAGTGTAAAGAAAGAATGGGACGAATTTTGATTGATACGGGATCTCAGAGGTCCTATGTACTCCAGGACACGGCGGAAGAAATGGGATATGAATGTTCCAAAAAAGAGTCTCTTCGCCACTCTTTGTTTGGTGGATCGAACACAGAGTTGTACGAACATGGAGTTTATGATATCAGGTTGAGCAATTTAGACGGATCTTATGGCTGTAATTTTGAAGCACTGAGCCAAGATGTTATCTGCGACAGCGTGCCCAGGGTCCATCAGGGTAAATGGATGCAAGATCTTAGTGCTCATGACATAGAATTAACTGATCTACACAGGGGACCTCTTGAGATTCTTATAGGAGCAGATATTGCTGGAAAATTACTAACCGGAGAGCATAGAAGACTTCCTTCTGGGCTTGTGGCGGTGCAAACGAGGTTGGGCTGGACTTTAATGGGCAAGATTCCGGCCACAGAAGAAGAACCTAGCGTTAGTGGACTTTGCACAACTTCACTGTTGACTAGCGATTTGGAGAATTTATGGAGATTAGAGGCTATTGGTATTTCAGATGCTCGTCAAGACGACTCGATACAAAAAGAAACGGAAGAATACTTTGCACGTACTATTTCACAGGATTGTGAGGGGCGTTACCAGGTTGCCCTTCCTTGGATTCGCGAAAGATAACTACTCACGGACAATAGAGATGTTGCCGAAAAACGATTAGCAAACGTGAGGAAACATCTTGTGAATACCGGAAATTTGGCAGAATATGAAGATATTCTCGAAAAGTGGCTAAGGAATAAAATAATAGAAAGGGTTATAGACAATAAACGCGAAGGCGTGCACTATTTGTCACATCGACCAGTTTTTAAAGAGAATAGTCCAACCACCAAAGTAAGACCAGTTTTTGATGCTTCGGCGAAGAAGAAGGGAAACCTTTCACTGAATGATTGTCTAGCAAGAGGTCCGAATATGATAGAAACGATCCCAAGAATTTTGAATAAATTTAGGAAGAGCGAGATAGGAGTCTTCTCGGACATAGAGAAGGCCTTCCTCCAAATTGGGATTAGGGAGGAAGACAGAGATTATCTAAGATTTCTCTGGTATGACAAAGAGGGAAATGTGATGGTTTTACGTCATGCGAGAGTTGTCTTCGGAATCACGACGAGTCCATATCTCCTGCTTGCCACGCTGTTTCACCAATTGAACAAGGCTCCTGAACACTGGCAAGAAACAGCTGAATTATTGAGGGAGTCTTTATACATCGATAACTGTGTGGCTAGTTTCTCAAAAGTCACAGATATGGAAAAATTTGTGGACGAAGCACAGAGAATGTTGGCTTCTGCTCATTTCAACTTGCGTGATTGGACAAGCAATGTTACCAGTATAATGTGTGATGGTCCTAGGTCTGATAGAGGAAGGTTGTTGGGCATGACATGGAATCAAGAAAAGGACACTTTGGCTTGTTCTTTGGAGAATTTAGAAATACAGGGGCCAATAAACAAAAGAAAGGTACTCTCCTTGGCAAGCCGTATTTTCGATCCGGTGGGCTTCACTTGTCCAGTGACCCTCGTTCCGAGACTTATCATACAGGAAACGTGGATGTTAAAATTGTCCTGGGATGAGCCTCTGCCTGAAAATTTGTCTTGCGAGTTTTTGAGGTGGCTGGCCAAATTGGAGTCTCTGAAATCTATTGCCATACCGAGATGGCTTTGCTATAGAGAAGAACACCGGATTGGAACTACTCTTCATGTCTTTTGTGATGCGTCTAAGGCCTCCTACGCCACTTGTATTTTTTTACGCATCGAGAGCGAACAGGAAGTAACGTGTCAACTAGTACAGGCTCGGTCGAGAGTGGCTCCTTTGAAGGGAACTACCATTCCTCGTTTGGAGC